TTTTTTTTTTTTTCTTTTTTTTTTTTTTTTTACCCCCCCCCCCCCTTTTTTTTTAACAGAAGTCTCTTTAACATTTCTTTTAATGCTGACTTGTTGGTGATGAATTCCTTAAGCTTTTTTCCTGCCTGGGAAGCTCTTTATCTCACCTTCCATTTTAATCGAAAGCCTTGCTGGGCAGAGTATCTGTGGCTGTAGTTTCTAGTTTTTCATAACTTCGAATATTTCTTGCCAGTCCTTTCTGGCCTGCAAAGTTTCCATTGAAAAATCGGCAGACATTCTTAAGTCTAGCTGTCTTTCTCTTGCTGCTTGTAAGGTTCTTTGACCTTTGGCATTTTAATTATGATGTGTCTTGGTGTGGATCTGTTCATATTCCTCTTATTTGGGACTCTTTGTGCTTCCCGAACTTGTATGTCTAATTCCTTTGCCGGGTTAGGGAAGTTTTTTGTCACTATTTCTTCAAATAGATTCTCAATTCCTCGTTCTCTCTTCTCTTTCGGGTACTCCTATGATGCGGATATTGTTACACTTCATATTGTCCCAGAGGTCTCTTAAACTATCCTCACTTTTAAAAATTCTTCTTTTTGTTGATCTGATTGGCTGCATTCTGCTACCAGTTCACTGATTCGATCTTCTGCTTCGTCCAATCTAATGTTGAATCTTTTTAGTGTATTCTTCATTTCTGTCTGGTTCTTTCTTATGGTTTGTTGTTTTTTATGCTTACTCTCTGTCAAGGTTCTAATTGTGCTCATCCATTCTCTCCCTAAGTTTGTTGAGCATCCTTATAACCATTATTTTGAACTCTATCTCTGGTAGGTTGCTTGCCCCCGTTTCATTTAGCTTATTTTCTGGAGTTTTCTCCTGTTGTTTCATTTGTGGCATGTTTTTCTCATTTTATTAGCCTGTGCTCATTTCTATGTGTCAGGAATATTTCTTTTGTCTCTTAACCTTGGCCTGATGGTCTAATGTGGAAGGTGTCCTGTGTGGCCCATTGGAGCACTCTCCCTGATCCCCTATGCCAAGGGCTTTGGACATGATCTTTGTGTGGGTTATGTGTGATCTTCTGTTGTTACCAAGCCTTTATTGTTAGTACATCAGTGGATAGAATTAACACTCAGGCTAATTGTGGGAACTAGCTGCAGCCTCAGGGTAAGAGTTGCTTTGCAGGGGCAGATCCCACTGAATGGGATTTGCCCTAGCGTACTTGGGTACTTGCTGCAACCACTGTGTGTGTACTGCTAATGGGGCTAGTCAGGAGTTGCTCTGATGTGGTCTGGTGCCAGTCTCTGGATGTGTTGGTTTTGTGGTCCCTTGGGCAGGGTCCCCGGTAGGCCAAGGTCAGACGCTGCTTTTGATTGCTCAGGGGTACCTGGTGAACTACAAAGCAATCCGCAGATGGTTGTTGCCTACGCTGTATCGGCTTTGACGAGGCTCCTTTATGTATCATCAGAGGTAGGTGTTATGATCAGCTGGACTTCAGGTGATTCTCCATGTTATTTTATAATTTGGTTGTAATTTCAATGTGGACCTGGGAAGAGGCGAATCCTGCTTTTACCTATCCTGCCATCTTCTGCTCGAATCCCAGAATGATTCTTAACACAGCCTATTTCCATTATTTTAACTTCAGATTCACTGATTCTTTCTTCTGCCTGCTCATACCTACCCTTTAATCCCTCTAGTGGTATTTTTCATTACAGTCATTGTAGTGTTCAGATCAGGAATTCTTGGGTCCCTTTTAGGCTTTGTTTTATTGATATTCCTATTTTTTTCACACATTTTCTTGACTTTCTCCACATCTTTAGTTCTTTGAGCATGTTTAAGACACTTGCTTCAGAATTTTTGTCTAATAAATTTGCCATTTAGTCTTTTTCAGGGAGTTTCTTGAATTTTTTCCTTTGAATAGGCTATATGTTCCTATTTCTTTGTATGCCTTAATTTTGTTGTTGTTGAGCATTGGACATTTAAATCTAATAATGTGTCAACTCTGGAAATCAGATACTCCTCTTTCCCAAAGCTTTTCTTATTGTTTTTATTTTATTGTTCTAGGCTGTCTCTTTGCCAAGGACAGGCCTGCAGTGTAAGCTTTTCTCAGGTCTTTTCTGAGCCTTTCCTTGAGCATGTAGTACTTTCTAATTTTCGCTATATATATGCAGTTATTTCTGAATGTCATAGTCTTTAATGTCTGGCTCTTGAAATGGGAAAAGCAAAAAATAAAGGGGGAAGAGAGTACCAGCACTTTAAGTCTCCCGGTAGTCATTTCAGTTAGAGGAGGGGCTTGTAACAATGGGAGGGAGATGCAACAATGGCTGCCAATGTCTTTGCATCCATGATCAGAAGCAGCAATCAGTGATTAGAGCATAGATCTCCAACAGTTGGGAGCACAGGGTCCTTTTTACCCATCCCAGCTCCCACGTGCTGTGTAAAAGCTGCTGCAGGAACACGTGAACACTGCCTGCCATGTGGCTGGGAGGTGGGAAATGAGTAGCTGCAACTGTGCCAAATGCTGAAATTGACCAAAATTAACCACAATTTACCAACTAAGTAAACTTGCCTTAAGCCTTTAACAGACTCCAGAGTTCCAAAATAATTATATCATCATTGGTGTTATTTTAACCATAATATTTTGTGTGGCTGATCCCAGGAAAACTTTAGTTATCAAACCAATAAAACCATGTAGTCAACCATTTATAAAAATACATATTTATTGTTTCAATGTTCTTGAATGATACAGTTAACCAGTTATATACACTTAGTCTTCACATTAAATATAAACACAAAAAAACTAAACCAACCAGCAAAACTGCTGGAAAATTCCTCCAAACCATTAACCCTTATCAAAAATGCACACTGGGGTGATAAAACTATCTTATCGTAAATCACCATACTCTGAAAATTAACTACAGCTAAGTATAAATGTTTAAAGAAAAAATAAAGGGCAAAGTGACGTGGAATAAAACTATGGTGGGTTTCTGAACTCTATACACAGTGAGTTAAGCAAGTCAAATGGCTCCACTGTACATTTCAGCAAAGTATCATCTTTGTGTAACAAAGATCAGAGGTTTGTCCTCAAGCTACAGGATAATTTCAAAGCAACCTCAGGAGAGCATGGCCAGAAGACCTAGTAGTCACATGACTTCAAAACATGAAATCCAGAGGATCCAAAGATGAGGAACACATTTACTCTACCCCCTAAAACCTTTCTCAGAGCCCTAACTCAAAGCCAGATTACTGAAAATGACTAAGGATCAGCACTTGTCCTGAAAATTCACAACTGAGTTGTCCAGGTTTGGGACAAACCATATATGCACACATATAAAACCTGGACAACTCTTGCTGAATTTCAAGAGGCTATTATTATGGCTAAAATACCCAAGTCAAGACTGACTTGTTTTCTCCATAAATTTTGAGGTCTAGGCATGAGACACACATTTTCTTTATAGTCTTCTCTCATAGGGGTACGCAAATGCTTGGGACCCATTGCTGTCACAAAGCTCCCATTGTCTTCTTTAGGCTGGAGCAACTGAAAGCTTGTGGGATGGTACCAAGGACTACACTGGGCCCAAATCCCACACACAGGCAAAGTTCAGCCCCAACAGTTTCCATTCTTTGCTAGGCAACAGCTCCATGCCAGCATTCAGAAATGGAAGGACAGCTTGTGACTGCCACCAGAGACCTATCTCTAAGCTCAATGGCAACAATAGCCATTACCACTTCCCAGAAGGCTTACACAGACACAGACTTCCATGGTGGGATCAATTACGAGGCTGAGGCTGTGGGGCTACGGACTGTGGACATGAGGTGTGACTTGTAAGTTTTGCTCAGGCCTGTCATCCAAAACTTGAGCAGTTTGACGTTGTCCTCCTCGGATGCTCCGAGGATACTTAGGAGCTTCTGAGTGTCTTCTTTGGGTCGACTGTCCACCTTGGTGAATTTAAAAAGGACTTTCACTTTGCTGTAGAAAACCAAAAACAAAACACTCAGATACCATAACACAATCACTAGCGCTCTGGTCCTGAGGCTTAAGGTCTTCGACACCAACAATGGCTCTGCAAATGGAGCTGGAATTCAAACATCAGAAGAGAGAATGCAGCAAAGTAGCAGCCTATACTTGCACACCTTAGGATCTCTAATTTTCTCATCAGTTATAACCCTGGGTAACATGGCTGGTGCATCAAAACAGGAGAGAAAAAAAGAAAAAAAAATGCTAAATTCATGAAAGGAACTGGTTGCTCCTAAGTGTCACTGCATTATTTGAAATCAGGACACTGTTTCACTAATTAAATTTGACAAAAAATTACTACGAAGATAGGAATAAAGTAACTTGCTTTGGTAAAAAGAAAATCTATTATCTGACTTTCAGATTTTTAAAGTTAATTAAGCAGCAAAAATAACTGCTTCCCTTGGAGGCACATGTCACCCCCATCTCACAGACTGAGCTTGGGGGCAGTGAGTCACTTGCTCAATGTCACCTAGCCGATACATTGTGATTGGAGCTGGTATTTGAACTCATGCTCTTCTACTCTAGATCGCCTCTCCTGGTGGCCACGACCTCACCTTTTTCTGGAAACAGCTCTGGTTTTCCTAAGTAGACACAATGCTGTCAGCAATCCAGCCTTCCCCAGTCAGAAAGCAAAGACTCTAGGAGGCAAGGTGGTGTGTGCTTACTTCATCCACTCTTCCTTGAGGCAGACGAGGCACTGGTCAACCACATCCACAGACAGATTCTGGTTGGTCAAAGCAGCTTCCATCTTGTTCAGAATGGTTGGGCCAACTGGGAATAAGGGTGGGGACAAAGTAGGGGGTATGTGTCAGCACAGGGTTAAGTGAGAGGCCTCAGCGACCTTACTCCCACTCTGGTTCTGGTGAAAGATAGTTCAGCAGCACCCACCTCGATCTGCAGCTACAGGACTTCCACTGGTCACCACAAACTCATACTTGCTGAGAGACTGGTCATCCTCACACCCGACTGGGTGGAGGCTGGAACGAGTGGCCGTATGGACCTCCACTACAACAGCAAATTCTGTGGCAACACAAAAAGCACTGCTCCGTTGAGTGTTCCTCTTCCTCCCTTTAACAAGCCCACCTCAATCTGCCACTCCAAATTATCTCAGATCAACTAGGGAAAAACTCCAGTCTCCTGAGATTAATGCTCTGCTATTTAAAACCTATAGTTTATTTGTGAATAGTTATGGGTAACTTTTGCCTCAATTAAACTAACATATTTTACTATAAATTTTACTAATTACTTTACATACCTCAATTCA